TTCAAACTACAGCACAATAGCACTCATCTCACAAGCAAGTAAAGCAATGCTTAAAATTCTCCAGCAGTATGTGAACTGTGAACTTCCAGATGTTCAAGCTGGATTTAGAAAAGGTAGAGGAACCAGAGATCAAATTGCCAACATTCATTGGATCATAAAGAAAGAAAAGAAATTCCAGAAAAGTATCTACTTTTGCTTCATTGACTATGCTAAAGCCTTTGTGTGGATCACAACAAGCTGTGGAAAATTCTTAAAGACATGGAAATATAAGACCATCTTACCTGCCTCCTGAGAAATCTGTATGCAGGTTAAGAAGCAACAGTTAGAATTGGACATGGAGCAATGGACTGGTTCCAAATTGGGAAAGGAGTATGACAAGGCTGAACATCATGTGAAATGCCAAGCTGGATGAATCACAAGCTGGAATCAAGATTTCTGGGATAAATATAAAAAACTTTAGATACGCAGATGATACCACTCTAATGAGAGAAAGTGAAGAGGAACTAAAGAGCCTCTTGATGAGGATGAAAAAGGAGAGTGAAAAATCTGGCTTAAAACTCAGTATTCAAAAACTAAGATCATGACATCTGGTCCCATCACTTCATGGCAAATAGAAGGTGAAACAGTGGAAACAGTGACAGGTTTTATTTTGGGGTCTCCAAAATCACTGCTGACAGTGACTGTAGCCATGAAATTAAAAAGACACTTTCTTCTTTGGAAAGAAAGCTATGACAAACCTAGACGGTGCATTAAAAAGCAGAGGCTTCACTGTGCCAACGAAAGCCCATATAGTCAAAGCTATGGTTTTTCCAGTAGTCATGCACAGATGTGAGATTTGGACCATAAAGAAGGTTGAGTGCCAAAGAATGGATGCTTTTGAATTGTGGTGCTGGAGAAGACACTTGAATGTCCATTGGACTGCAAGGAGATTAAACCAGTTGATTAAAGGAAATCAACCATGAAAATTCATTGGAAGGACTGATGCTGAAGCTGAAGCTTCAATATTTTGGCCACCTGATGTGAAGAGCCAAGACACTGGAAAAGACCCTGATGCTGGGAAAGATTGAAGGCAAAGAGAGAAGAGTGCACAGAGGAAGTGATGGTCAGTTAGCATCACTGACTCAGCTGGACATGAATTTGAACAAACTCTGGGAGAGAGTGAAAAACAGTGGAGCCTGGCAGGCTGCAGCCCACGGGGCTGCAAGAGGTGGACAAGACTCTGTGACCAAACAACAACAACATGACACATTGCTCTCTTATTTTTCAATCTAGTACTATGTAGACTATGAAGAGCACAGTTCATTCCATTTCTAAGTCAAGAAACCATAAGATTTGTCTTCTTGAGAGAAGCTGCTAGAGGGAGTTGCCTTATATCCAAATAATACCTTTCTGTTTCAGAAGCAAAACATCATAGGTACCAACTTTNGCTAGAGGGAGTTGCCTTATATCCAAATAATACCTTTCTGTTTCAGAAGCAAAACATCATAGGTACCAACTTTCACATTGAAGGTAATAAAAAACAAGCAAACAAATTCCAGAATATCTCAAGAATGAAAATGGTAGTTCTACTATACACCCAATGGCCTATAAATAACAGCCTCTTTTTGCTGTTGTTCACTTGCTAAGTCATGCCTGACTCCCTGCAATCTCACGGACTGCAGCATACCAGGCTTCCCTGTCTTAAACTTAAAATTTGCTAACAGGTAGATCTTGTGTTATGTGTTCTTACTATTTACACACACAAAATAATAACAGTAAGAAGAAAAAACTGTGGGAAGTGATGGATAATGTTATAGCCTTGAAGGTGGTGATAGTTTCATTAGTATGCACTTATCTTCAAAGCCATGGAGTTTTATACATTAAATATGTACAGCTTTTTACATGTCAATCATACCTCTAAATTGCTTCAAAAAAAGAAAACAAAATTGCAGTGACTTGAAGTGGTAAAGAAACCAAAAACTCTTAGTTGTGACTTTGACTAAAGTCATTAACGCCACATTTTTTTGCCCAGTTTGACCATACTCTTTCTGCTGACAGAGTTCCTTCCAAATTAGTGGCTATTGCCTGAGACATGACAGGTGCTCAGTCTATTACTTTTTAGATAAAGAAAGGAATGAATGAATGATGAAGGAAGGAAAGAATTGTGATACTGGAGAAGACTCTAGGAAGGAAGTCTTCCTTTCTCAAGACTTCCTTGAGAGTCTCTTGGACTGCAAGGAGATCAAAGGTAGAAAGGAAATAACTGACTAACAAATTCTAGGAAATACATGCAAAGACCATGTTTGGTGGTTACAAGCATTTGAAATCCCATTCTATCCATTGCTAACTCTATGACCATGGCCAAGCTAGTAAGCCTCTCTATACCTCAGTTTCCCTCTGTGTATAAAAGAGGCTGTTGTGAAAAATACATGCTACATTACAGAAAAGCACTTTAAAAAAACACAGAACATAGTAAATACCAAATAAATGCTAGTTATCAAGATTAGTATTACACTCTTATCCAGATAATTCAATACAAAAATCATTGACACCTTTGAAATTAAGCCAGTGGGACTACAAACAACCTGTCTAGAGTCCAGGGATGTGGGCACAATGAACTTTGAAGTTCAACCTCCAAAGCTTGCACATGTCTTAGAAATTACTATTCTGTTGAAAATGGTATAGGTTGATCCTTCATAAATTCTGTTGAAATGGTATAGGTTGATCCTTCATAAACACTTCTCATGAAAGTATTGGAGACACTGGCTCCTTGTGATAAAGACTTAAGACCCTGGTTTAAAAGGGCAGACATATGACTAGATATCCTTCTTGAGAGTTATTTTCCATTGATTTTCAGTATATTATTATCCTGTAGACTTGATATAAAACAGCAAATGGAGATGAAATACTTTTATTACATGTGATTCCCCAGTATACTGCTTATAGTTGCCTATATTTTGTTTTGCCTGCATGTGTGTGTGCTAAGTTGCTTCAGTTGTGCCTGACTCTTTGTGACCCTATGGGCTGTATAGAGCCTGCTAGGCTCCTCTGTCCACGGGATATTCCAGGAAAGAATACTGGAGTGGGTTTCCATTTTTTTTTTCCTCCAGGGTATCTTCCTGACCCAGAGATCAAACCCACGTCTCCTGCGTTGGCAGGCAGGTTCCTTACCACTAGCACCCCCTGGGAAGCCCAGGAGTTTATCATATAACTCCACGGCTCAGAAATGGTGGTTTCAACGTTGGTATCAACCACTGTCTAAGACTCCTAAGGCATGCAAGCAGCTGGCAAATAAAATAGTAGAAAATCTGTCTGAAAGAACAAAAGGAAAGATCCATTTATACACGTGACAGAACTCAAATTATGAATCCTTGGAAGTCAAGGACTGTGTCTATGCTGGTTGAACAAAGGAACACAGGGTGGCATAGAAATGTGCGTATCAATAAAGCAGATGGTGCTACTCCCTTTGCTAGGCAAAGCCCACCTCTCTACCAGTCTGGATTAAGTAGTCTCTCTGGCTGATAGGAGCTGGATTATATTGGAAGAACAACATATAGTCTCTGACCTTATGAGAAGAGAAAGACCTCTCAGGACAAACACAGAGAAAAGGCCACGGGAGGAAGGAGCAGGAAGACACTTGTCTGCAAGCCAAGAAGAGAGACCTCACCAGAAACTGAATGGGGCCAGAACTTTGCTCTTAAATTTCCCTGCTTCCAAAACTGTGAGAAAATAAAATTTGTGTCAAGTCACCTAGACTTGTATCGGCAGCCGAAAATGACTATGACAGTCATACACTGGAAAACAGCTTTATAAACATACACACAGCTTGAGTCACACTCACCATTAGTAGTCTGTCTCCTACTTGCAACCTTCCATCTTTCTGAGCAGCTCCTCCGTCGATAATTTTAGTGACATAAATGCTATTGTCTCCAGGAATGTGCTGATTTCCCACACCTCCTGCAATACTGAAGCCTAAACCTGCAGAAAAGGAACAGAAAAACCAAAGCCTTGTATTAGTTTAAGAAAGTGCTATTAGTCACGCTTCAACAGTCAAAAAAAATTTAATCTTTCATTTGTTACAACAGTAATAAATAACAATAAATTCTACTCTAATCAACTTTGCTCTTTAAATATTTGAAAGTTTGCTGATTAATGCCAATAAAGCAGAACACACGTGTAGTCCTGACCACGTTTAGTCTATGGGCTCATCTTTGTTGATGCGGTCGTTACTCCAGCATAGCAAACAGAAGTACTGCCAATCATGTGGGTAGAGACCTAGATATTTTTGACATTTCAAAATGAAAAGTTCAGCCATTTGAACATTTGACAAACTCTGAGATAACAGCCATGAGGAAGATACATTGGATATCAGTGCAATAATTTCAGAGAGAAGATAAGGGTTTGTTCCTTGCTTGCCCTTCCTGTCTCCTTCTCTGGGCACCTTGTCATTTTTGCAGACTTCCTGGCACTTCCTGTTATTAACTTGTAGTTAAAAAAGAATGAACACAAATGAATTATCCCTGCACACAGTCTAAAGAAGAGATTATATACTTTGACTATGTTATTTTTATAGCAAACCATGAACTATCAAATCATTTTAAAACATGGAAATTATCCATTTTGAGAGAAGAATTTTACACTGCTATGGCATATAAATTTCTTCCAGTTTTATTGATATATAATTGACATAGTATTATACAAAACTAAGGTACATAGCATGATGATCTCATTTATATACATCATGAAATGATTATCACAATAAGTTCAGTGAACATCCATCATATATAGATACCAAATGAAAGAAACAGAAGCATATTTTTCCTTGTGATGAGAATTCTTAGGATTTCCTCTCTTAACTTTCATATCTAACATACAGCAGTGTTAATTATATTATGTTACATATTACATCCCTAGTATTATTTATCTTATAAGTGAAAATTTGTACCTCTGTCCTTCATCTAACTACCCCTTCTCCTCATCCCTCAACTCTTGGTAATCACAAGCTTGATCTCTTCTTCTACGATTGAGTTTGCTTGTTTTTGAAGTATAATTGACCTACACTACTAGGCTAGTTCCTATTTACAACACAGTGATTAGATATTTCTATACATTTCAAAATAATCACCATAATAAGTCTAGTTGCAATATGTCACTGTACAAAAATATTACATAGTTATTGACTATATTCCTCACATTGTGCATTTCATAATCATGACTCATTTATTTTGCAGGTGAAAGTTTGTACCTCTTAAATCTTCCTCACCTATTTCTTCCCTATCCATCCACTTTTCTCTCCTCTGGCAACCACTTTTTTGCTCTCTGTATTTAGAGCTCTGTTTCCATTTTGCTATGTTTGTTCATTTGTTTTAGTTTTTAGATTTCACACATAAGTGAAATTATATATAGCATCTGTCTTTCTCTGTTTGACTTATTTCACTTAGCATAATATCCTCTAGGTCTATCCATGTTATCACAAACTTTTATTTATATTAAACTATGGAATGACAACAAGAATAGAGCTATTAAAAATCATTATGAGGTCATTTTATTTTTTTATTTTTAAAAAATATTTTAATTTTTTTAAAAAATTTAAATTTTCATTTATTTTTATTAGTTGGAGGCTAATTACTTTACAACATTGTAGTGGTTTTTGCCATACATTGACATGAATCAGCCATGGATTTACATGTATTCCC